AAAGGAGAGTCACTTTGTGGTATTAGTGCAATACTCAGAGGGTGCCTCTGAGGAGTGGATGTAGGTCTGGTTATAGACCGAACCATTATAAATCTGGTGTCATTTACTTTATTGCTTTTACGTTTCCGCATTTTAAATTTCAGTTTTAACAACTCTGTGGTTGAAAAACATTTTTCTACAAACTTTAAAAGAAAATTTTATTTCGGTTCAACTTTATTATTAAGAGGGTTTAAAATTTTTAAAAACTACCAATTCACCCCCCTCTTGGTAGCCGTGGGACATTTACTTAGGCTTAACAACCTACAAATTTACTTAATTAGTTGCATACGAACATAATGTATATTGGTACGAACTATCTTCGTACCCGATCATCGTCCTGTACAAAATATGTTCGTCCTAGGATGAATAGGAGTTCGTCTGGATGAAAATTTTCTAGAGAGCATTTCTTCCTAGAACGAATAGGAGCTTGTCTGGACAAAAATTTTCCAGAGAGCATTTCATCTAGGGACGAATAAGAGCTCGTCTAGACAAAAATTTTCCAGAGAGCATTTCGTCCTCGCACGAATATAAGATTTTGTCTGGACGAAAATTTTTCAGAGAGTATTTCATCCAGGGACGAATAGAAGCTCGTCTAGACTAAAATTTTCTAGAGAGCATCTCGTCCTGGAACGACTAGAAGCTCATCTGGATGAAAATTTTCCAGAGAGTATTTCGTCCTGGCATGAACAGGATGAATCGTCTGGTCTATCAGCACAAAGTGAGAATCTAGAGCAGATCGTACCGGGACGAATTGAGAAATTCGTCTCGACGATCAGGACTTAGAAAAATTTTCTCACTTCCTATTTGTTCCATTTCTCTTCCGAGGGGATTAACTGACTTGATCGTCCCGTACTAACAAGGTTCATCCCGTACGATCAGTGTGATTTTTAAATATCTCCCCAAGTGTGTGTGCTAAGCTTATTCAATTAAAATCATATTTTCTCAAACTCAATTACAATAAAAAATACAAACTTCAATTTACAAACTATCTCATGCTGAATTTCGATTTGAAGTCTTCATTAGTTTAGAGTTTGATTATCCTGAAATGTTAGTCCACACAAGAGCAAAAATAATTTTTTCCAAAAAGTGTTAGGAGAAAATAAAGCTTAAAACAATAATATTTGGAATCATCAAAATTATACAAGTTGCAAAAAGATAAAACATGCAAATAGCAACTCTCTTAACATATAGAAATATAAAGTTTAGTGTCTCAGTGTTGTATGAAATGCAATATGGATACAGATAAAGAGAGAGGGTGCGTCATTCACATGAGACGCTAGAATTTTTAAGTCAAAAACTAGTGAAAAGGGGGAAAAACCACGGGGCTAGCCTAGTATGAATGAATCCACTAGTATTTGCAGTTGATTACAAATGCTTCCTTGGGGGATGGCCTTAGCTCGATGTACATCATATAGAATACATTGCATGGTAGGAATACAAAGAATCATTGTTGATGTGTTTGTTTGGTCGGAAGGATCATAGTCGGTGGGCGACGTAAGTCGAAAGGACCGTACTCGTCGGGCGACGGAGATCAGCGACGGAGGTCAGAAAGACTACTGTCTAGCGACGGATGTCGGAAGTACTGTAGTCAAGTAGAAGTCCAACGATGGGAATAAGTCTAGCATTGGATAGAAGTTCGACGAATGTCTGACAACGGGTAAAAGTCTGATGGACTTCTGGTGTCAGATGGAAGTCTGGCGTCCGGCAGGAATCCGACGATGGGCAGAAGTTCGACATCGATAGAAATTCGACGTTAGTCGCTGGACGTGTGAAACTCTATTGGTGGTCGAGGAGGAATTTCGACGTAACTTGGAGGTCAAGTAGAATTTCAGCGTCACATGGAGATTGATCGGAGTTTCAGCGTCACTTGAAAGTCGGGCGGAACTCCGGCGGTGGTCGAGGAGGAGTTTCTTCCCTCCTTATCTTCTTTTCTTATGCTCCTCTTTCTTCTTGCTTCGGGTCCCCTCTTAAGATAAATGAGGGGCTATTTATAGTTTTCTGAAAAGTGGCATGACCCGTAAATAAGAGTGGTATAGACGGACGACCGATATTGAATCCCTTGATTGTGTACCACTTGTCAGACATTTGAAGGTCTTAATGAAATCAGAATTTGGTTATTTTAGGCTCGTTGATTTGACGCATCGATCCGCTCGATTTGACTATAAGCATACCAAGTCTTGAAACCGTATAGTAATCTAAATTGTGGTTTGAACCTTCCAACAGCGCTTCGGGTCTTCGATTCATACCCATTTGGGCTCGGATTGATTTGAATTTGGTGTCGTTGGGTTTGTATTTCCAAGACGCTCCGTTCGACTATAAGTTTGTTGAAATCGGAGTTCAAATGATTCCGAATTAAATTTTTGAAGTTTTCAATTTGAATTTTTTTTAGATTCGTGCCTGATCAAGATAATTTTTTGATGATATATCAGCCATATGTAATTTTTTATCTTACGTGGAACAGTAAATCAAATATTCCGTCCATACAACTCGAACTCGAAGATTCTTAATGCCAGCGACTAATTATTTCGTAAATTTATAAACAAGATGATCAAAATAATTTTCAGTCCATCACTAGCGAGCACACTAATCAACAACTGTCTGGTTGCCAGCACTGCGAACGGCTCCGATCGGTCCACGTTTGCGACGACACAAGAAAGAAAGAATCCACCCGCGTTTCAAGCCATTCGAGGGCAATCTCGTCAATGGAAAGAGTCCGGAGCTGATACCATCGTACCATGGCATGGGTATCGATGGATACATGGATGTGATATTAGGTGGTTCCGCAAAAATATCATCGCCACGTAGGTACGGGGAGAAGATCGGGAGGGCGTAGCCCAGCTTCCGTTTATTGATTGCTCCCCCGGATGCCGAACTATCTATCCTTCCTTCTGCCACCGGAAAATAAATCTATATCTTCCTCCTTTTTTTCATCTACAGAAAAAAAAATCAGTTTTTTCAACGATTTCTCTTCCCATCTGTATCTCTTTCTCCGCTACTCCTACCCGTTCTAAATCAGCACAGGTACTTTCAAAGTCCAGACATAGCTTCAGCTAGAACTACGACTAAGTACTTATCTTTTCTTCTCCCGATTCTGATTTTTCTCTGTTCTTTCTGTCTTTCTCGGTTCAAAATTATTCAGTCTTTTTTTTTTTTGTATTTTGGGATTTTTTTTCCTTACTCGATTAGTTGGTAAAAGTTTGGACTAGTCGATTTTGTTGAAGAATTTGGGAAATGAAACTGATTTATGCTGATGTTTTGGTGCAGTATTCTGACTTAGCTCCCGATCGATTGCAATATACTCTTTAGAATTTTTTTGGAGCCTGAGAAGACGATGATGATGATATGGTGTCTCAAAAAAAGTTAAGTTTGTCCGAAGATTGAGGCTTTGCTTTGTTGAGACACAGAGAGGGCAAAGCAGGGTCTGGTTTTTATTGAGTGAGTTATATTTTTTTTGTGTTTTGGTTGCCTTCTACGCTTGTTCTTGCGCACCGTTCGTGGTGGAAGCTCTTTTGAGCGAGTATTTTGGTTCCCGAATAAGCGGATAAAAAGGGATTCGATCAGGCTGAATAGTATGTCTGCATCGTGCCAGAAGTGGATCGATGGCCTTCAGTTCTCCTCCTTGTTGTGGCCGCCACCTCAAGATGAGCAGCAGAGACAGGTACTGGGAGTATATATTTGAAATTTGTACCCTTTGAAGTTTGAACGCCGCCCCTCTATATACCTATTAACTTCACATCTGCATGCTAATGAATCTTAAACATATTATTTCTGAAATTATTATGCTTATGCTTTGATCGCTGAAATTTGCCTTGTAATGTTATGTTATTGGCAAATGTCACATATTTAGTTTTATAATATCTTTAAATAATAATTAGTTGAGATCCACATTAGAGTGAAAATAGCCCTCATCAAATATGAAATAAAAGTTGAATTTTTATTTTAGTTGTAGTGTTTATTAAGCTTTTCTGTTGATAGTGTCTATTTATTGATCTTTTAATATAATTTAAGCCTTTGGTGTTCCACCCACCTAACAAATGATATTAAAGCCAATGGCTCAATTAAGATCAAGTTTTGCATATGATTTGTGCCTTCCAATGCTCTTAAAAGCTTCTATCATGGTCATGCAAATAATAAAAATGGGTAGATTCCATGTGGTTAAATGGGCTTTTGGTGCATAATACTTGAAGTATTGAAAAGAAATTCCATTTGATGGGAACATTATGATCTATTGAGGAATCTCTTGTGAGTTGGAGATTGCTGGGATTCATTGGAGAGTAGAGAATTGTCCTACATTAACTATGAAACAAGAGTTGAGCTTTTAATATTCTAGTATGGTCTTTATTTATTAAATAAAGTTTTTTTTTTCTTGATTGGTGTCAATCTATTAATATATTGGACTCAATTTGGACCATTATTGTTCCATCCTCCTAGCAGGATTATTTGCAGATGTTCAATGTTTGAATTGGAAACATCTTTGAATAACAATTTCATAAATGACATTGAAGTCTTATTTTAGTTTTTGTCTTATGATCCCTCATCCAGATAAAGGTTCTTAGACTTCTTATCCAAGTTATTATTAGTGAATTATAACATTGTTTTTTCTACTTTTTCTGTCATTAATCTTCTTTATGAAGGTGTTTCATCTCCTTTGGTTTTTTTTTCATATTTTTTCTTTTCCGCCAACTTCTGCACATGGAAATTTTCTGCTCCCTTTACATGAAAACTTCACACTCAAATTTGACCACTAAAAGTTGATTTTTCTTTTGAATTTTTTTTTTAAATTAGGCTGGATAGCTTCAATCCTTATTTTTTTCTCTTTTTGACAAACTCTGACAACTTTAGGCCACCTTATAAGCCTTTTTTTGAAATGACTTTACCTATTTGAATTCTATGTAAAACTGATCTTCACATCATGCCCATGGATATTTTAAGAGCACTGCTGGCCTTTCATGTGTGCTTATTATTAAGGCGTGCTTATTATTTGGACTTTGCGTTAATTTTCGCCTAGTATATGATATGAGTAGGATGGTTCAAAGGTTGGCTTTGCTGCATTGCTCAAATACCATCTACTCCCATTCTTTCTTTGATGGCCTCTCTAATGTGACCTATGGTGCAGACAATGATGATACGGCAGTGTTGTTGCCTTGTTTTAGCCACATCAAGGTAATGGTTTAATTGGTCATGTAGCCATCTAAAGTGTAGCAGTTGAACCACGATTGTCTTGACAGCTTCCTGAATTAAACATTCGCCCAACTTTGCCTTTCATGAGGCTTTTCTAGGTGCTTCGAGCATGACAGCTTGCATAGTGGATATGAGAAATTTACTCTCTATGGCCCTACTTGCCAATGAGTTTTATCCAAGCTGCACATGCTGAGGGATAATAGGGAGATAGGAGAATAGAGCAAATCCAATCGTATGTTGGAGATAATGACTTACCTATTGTTATTTGTGGTAATAATTTGCAAGATTTAGTAATTTTTAATGCTCAATGAATACAAATAGTTTGGCTATTTAAGAAATAAATGTTTTTTTTTGTTTTAGGTTTAATTTAATGTATTAAGATAATAACCCTTGGAAATGCAAATATATTTTCCTTTAAGAAAAGCTATGGAGTTACTAAAGATATTCCAGGCCCCCTCCCTTTGTGCCTTTGAAAGTTCATTGTAAGCCTTACATTTCCAAGAAGTAGCACCGCTCCTTTCCTTTTGTCACATTGGTAAAATATTAACACGTGTGGTCCATTAGAATGGTGAAGAAGCAATATGCTTTGAAGGTTCATCCAGCGAATAAATAAATAAATAAATAAAAATAAAAACTTGAAAGGCACTTTTAAAGTCTGAGTAGAAGATATCAAATATTTTAATCACATATCATGGATCAAACTTTATATGCAGTAATTTTAGGTAGTGAGTTTTGAACTATTCTCTAAAAGTAACGCTAATGGGGAATGCCTCCATTGTACTGCTGTCGCCTGAATTTGTTGTGGACTGGTGGTCTTTGAAATTTTGACCATTGTACAGTTAAGATGAGTTGCAATTATTACTTTTTAAATTCAGTTTATATAAGATTTGTGATGCTATAGTTATGTTGTTATTTTATGTACTGCCTTTATCTCTAAAGTACATAATAATCCTTTTACATTCCCTTCACTATAATTTACTTTCTTTTCCTTTCCCAGCTAGGTAGTTGGTAAAGTAAGTTCATTTTGTTGAAATGTTATTGTCTATTAAATGAGATTAATTTGGAAATTCAATGTTTCTACTAGTTATATTTTTTGTTTAGATTTTGATATGCCTAGTTTGTCTGACTATTTTTAGGTGCAAATTATGGCCTATGTTGAATATTTTGCTCAATTTACTTCTGAACAATTCCCAGAAGACATAGCTCAGGTATGATCATTTTCTTAGTTCATTGAAAATTTTCATTCCAAGCATGTTTCATTGCTGTTGAGCATTTTTGTTAATTTGTTTTAAGCATGTATAGAACATAAACTCTGTAATTCATAGAAGGTTTGAAGGTTCAATCTTTACCTAGATTTAATATTTTCTTGTGCAGCTAATCCAGAGGCATTATCCATTTCATGAGAAGCGTCTTCTTGATGATGTGTTGGGTATGGAAAACTTAATCCTTTAAATGGTTTTTGGAATTCGTTAAGACATGCTAGTGATATTAATATATCATATTTTCCTCTCTTCTTTGAAGAAAATGCATAACTCTTTTATATGATAATTTCAGCAATATTCTTCCTCCATCATCCTGAGCATGGGCATGCTATTGTGCATCCAATTCTATCATGTATAATTGATGGGACCTTAGTGTATGGAAAGAATGATTCGCCATTTAATTCGTTCATATCTTTAATCAGCCAGACAAATGAGGTAAAAATGTTTTATACATATCATATCAGTGCATGCTTTCTACAATCAGAAAGTTTGAAGCTTTGAATCATTATTTAAATATGTACTGGGTTATTGTGCATGCTACTGTTTTTTATTAACTATATCATATGATCATATATGCACAGCTCCTTGCTCAAATTGGTCTCTTTTGTTGTAGAAAGAATATTCTGAACAGTGGGCTCTGGCCTGTGGTGAGATTTTACGTGTTTTGACTCACTACAATCGACCAATTTACAAGTCTGAACCCCGCAATGTTGAAGTAGAAAGAAGTAGCAGTGGAAACCATGCTACTACAAGTGAATCTAGTGAAGGGGAATCCTGTAATAGTCCTGATCGGAAGACAATGCGTCCTTTGACTCCATGGATTACTGATATACTGCTTTCTGCACCTCTGGGAATAAGGAGTGATTATTTCCGATGGTAGGCTGTCTTTTTCAGTTTAATTTTGAAACTTTAAGATTACATATCAGATATGCTTTGAGTTACAATCGAAGTTCACTCCTGCTTGATTTGTTTGTTATTTACTTTCTCTTAACAAAAACTGCTCCTGTTACAGGAATTATATGTCTATTGCATGAGATTCTCCCACTCTCTCTCTCTCTCTCTCTCTCTCTCTCTCTCTCTCTCCTCGCATGAACAATATATTAGCACTCATTAAAATTAGCCTTGTTGTTTGAGAAGAGAAAATGATCAAATTTGCCCCTAGACTATTTCTTGTGTGTTAATTTTGAACACGCATTATTGTTATTCTCCAAATTGGTCTCTCAAGTTTGTCAAGAAATTTAAGTTGAGAGATCAAAAGATTTATTTTGCAAGACCAAAAGAGTCAAGTTTTGATAAATACAGGGACCAAATTGAAAAATATGATTAGTCCAGAGTCAAAGGAGCGTACTCTAAGTAGTCTGGGTACAATTTGGTCATTTTCTTTGTTTGAAAGCATCCATATTTGGAGCATATTGTACAATGAAGAAGTATTCCTCCGTTAAGTGTGCTAATTTTGCAATAATGTGAACATATTTTGAGCAAAAAAAATGAGCTGACCCCGAAGTATAATGCTTCATCAGGTGTGGTGGAGTCATGGGGAAGTATGCTGCTGCTGGAGAACTAAAGCCCCCAACAACTGGTCAGTGATTCTTCCTGTTAGTCATCTTGGTTAACCATGTTTAAGTTTCTCATCAATCTACTAGATCAGTTTTGGTATTCCATTTCATCAGCTCTTACGAGTGAGCACCTGCCTGGTGAATGTATACTTTACACAACAACAACATCAAGCCTTTGTCCCACTACGTGGGGTCGGCTACATGAATCCTTTTTTTCCATGGTGAATGCATACTCTAATGTATCAAAATAAAACAGCGTACCTTTTTAATGAACGCCAGCATATAACTATGGGAAAATCTTTTCTGCTGATTGAGTGGTGATGGGTCTAATGACATTTGAAATGGACATTTTTCTTAATTTCTTCAGCTTCAGTAAGCTATTGTGACTTGAAAATGACAGAGTTGGCTGTATGGTGTTGCTTAGACCTAGGCATAGGTTCAGGGACCTACCTGGCTAGTTTGGTTTGACCAGATATGGCTTGGGAAAAGATTTTAGTCCAGTTGATAATGAACCTGTCAGATACACTTTGTAGACTGTTAATTTACAAGAAAATCCGCATGAAAGATATTTTGCCCAAACAAATGAATCTATGGAATCTGTTCTGACTGGTAGAGCAGAGCCTGTAAAATGTTCAATGTGGGACCAAAGTACATGCCATTTATGATGGTAGATCAAACTAGGGTAAGAAACATCGAAGTGTGAATGCAATTGACCATGCCTGAACTTGATCTGAACCAATCTGATTAGCACGATTGCTGCTTTACTACTGTTAATTGGACTTCATTTTTCCTAAGTTACAACTAATTCTGGCCTAAACTACAAAGAGTTCTAATTTTTTTCCGTAAATTTTTGAAGTATAATTTTTAAATTTTGCTTTGTTATTGGATGATCCCTTGAACCTTTCATAACAATTCAAAAAAAAAAATTCGAAGATTTAAAATGGTGATATTGTAGAAAAGGTTTTGAGGGTTGTTCCGGAGCACGTAATTTAGTTTTTTTTATGCTAGATCAACGCTCCTACTCACTGTAGAGCAATTTTAATGTGACAACATTGGCAGTTTGTCGTATATCGAAAGTGCTTACGTACTTGACTAGCAGGTTGATATGCTTTTCAGGTTTTCTATACAAAGTTTTAATATTTAAAGTCATGATGCCAGATATTAGAGTTTAGAGGATCTAGAGTTTTTATGATTCAAATTTTTTACGCCGCTGCTGTAATATATTTTGTTATTCATGTATTATTTTTTGTTACATTTTATGTTGTCAAAATATTTTTGATGGATGTTCTGCATTGGATGTATGCTCGAGGTTCTTTTTTGCTTATTTAATTTAGTGCTTATCCTACGAAATTTATTAGCTAGTTCAATATTCGAATTTTCTTCTGCTGCTTAACTACCATAGATATTTGGTGTGATTTGAAACTATGCAACCTAATATATTTCTATCAAATCTAGCTTGTAGTCGACAATCTGGAAAGCATCCTCAGCTTATGCCATCAACTCCAAGGTGGGCTGTCGCCAATGGTGCTGGTGTCATATTAAGCGTTTGTGATGATGAAGTTGCTCGTTATGAGACTGCAAATTTAACAGCAGCTGCTGTACCTGCACTTCTCTTACCTCCTCCTACAACTCCTTTAGATGAGCACCTAGTAGCAGGACTGCCAGCACTTGAGCCATATGCTCGTTTGTTTCATCGGTGAATCTTCATTGATATTTATTTCATTTGTTTCTTAACACAATGCCAGTCTGTTCTCGTACATATTAGCTGATACTCTAAAACACATAAATTTATTTGCTTCTTTTTATACCAGGTACTATTCCATTGCTACTCCAAGTGCGACACAGAGGCTTCTTCTTGGACTTCTTGAAGCACCTCCATCATGGGCTCCAGATGCACTTGATGCAGCAGTTCAACTTGTAGAACTCCTAAGGGCGGCTGAGGATTATGCATCTGGCATGAGGGTATGTGACTATAAAATTATTAAACTAGTAATATTTTGAATGAGAATTTAGTCATTGTTGTATTGCTTCTTTGTTAATTCTTTTTTATCCTTTTTAGTTTTAATTTATTATTTTACATACTTTGACTTTGACTTCTCTAAGGTTTAAATGACATTTTCTTGATTTTTGCTATCTTCAAGATGTGTGAGCTGATATAAAACTGATTGTTTTTAGTTGTAGAAAGTGGAAATGAATTGCTTTGTGTCACATAAATAACCTTTGTAAATTTTAGGTTTAGATTTTGTAGACGCCAATCCCTCCTTATAGCCTGCATTGGTAGTAGCTTCATTTTTGGGGTATACTTACTTTTATTGATCATTTAAATATGATTTTATGAATCCTGCTAATATAGGGCCTCGGGAGTGGTGGCTATATGGAACTTTACCCTATTCACCCATAACCGCTATCTTCATTATGAGGACTTGAATCCAGTCAAAGTAGTTGCTGATTGAGAACAAACTTCAATCATAACATTTTGCTACTCCTAAAGTTTGAAATCACCAAAAGCCTCAAGTCATCCAGAATTTGCTTCATAGAAAATCTGACCAATAGTTTGCTCCAACTCAACAGTCAATACTAAATTATTGAACTTGTTAAAAGGACTCACGAAGTTGCCCATTAAACATGGCTATTTCTCCCCCCAAAAAATTCTAAGGGTACTTGTACATAATTTGGAGTTCGCCTTCACCTCTAACTAGTAACCAACTACAGGTCTATAATTCGTTTGCTATATAATTAGTTACATAAGTTCATCATATACATTCTTTCATTAACTTTACTATGTTTTCAATTGTATAAAGAACCCATTGATATTTGCCTATAATTTGGAGTTCCTCCATCAACCTTTTACATAAGAGAAATCATAGAGGGGAAAGTCAAACAAAAAATATCTTGTGAAATTTCACCAGAATTTTCTACAAAATTTCTCTATCTAAATTTATTTGTAACTCAATTTAACTCATCTTTCTTTGTTCAAAGATGTTTGATCAGGTTCCTTTTTAATAATTTTTTTTCAAATATTCATTGAGACTTTGCATCTCTCCCTTGGGTTGATTTATTTATCTAATAAAGTATTGGTTTCTTTCCATGAACAACGTTAGATCCAGCATCTATATTTACAAATACTCTATTTTGGTGGCTCGAACTTGAGACCTATAAAATAAATAAGATACAACTTAACCTCAACTTCAAACCAACTCTCCATGTAAACAAAACTCTATATATTTTACCAAATCTATTTTTTAATTTAATTTTTTTAATCGTTCTTTTAAAAAACTATTAAGTGCTAAAGCTATTTTAACTAAACATATAGAAAATTTTTGTAGGAAGTTACAATACATTCCATCGCACTAAATGATATGAATTTATCGCTTGCTAACTGCATCAATATTCACTTCAATCGTCCCTGTGCAATTGTTCCTATTAGATCTGCTAGCTACAATAGTTGTGCCTATCTTTTGATTCCAGTCATTCATGCGATATGTGGAGGAAACTTCACACGCTGTTTCATTTTCTGATCTCTCGTTCTTTTTATGCTTGATACAATCCTTGTTACTTGCTCTCTATTTGCCCTTGCGCCAGTAAGAGCATTTTAAGTTGACCTGCAACATTCCTTTTGACTCCCAACTACTTTAAGCACTAGCATGCTATTGCCTCATCCCATAGTGCAGTTTTTCTCTTCCTGATAATCTGTCACCATCACTTCAAAATTGCTCGCCTTATATGAAAAACTATATGAAAAAAGCCATTTGCCATTTCTTTCTTACAGAATTATCATTTGTTCTTATTTCACTCAATGTCATTAAATCGAACCAGTTGCACTTCTAATCCCATTGATGTTCACCCTCACGCTCATGCTCTTATGCTCTCCTTGTCGCATGCATCCTCTTAGACCACTAACTATCCACCCGCACTCCATATCGTGCTTATTTGAGTGCATGGTTGTTTCCTCAACGCTTGCTTCCATTGCTTCTTCATGTAACTTCATAATCACACCATTGCTTCTTCATGTAACTTCATAATCAAACCGCACACCCACTTGTTGTCCTGCAGATGTAATCATCGACTCCCTTTAGTCTATTGAGCTTGTCCAATCACAAACCTTTCTCCACAATTTTCTTGTAAGGGCATGCACCTATTGTCCATCTGCAACCTTGAAACCCTTGTTTGTATGTCTTGCTTGATAGGTACCGTGCTATTTTTCTACGTTATCAGTAGTCAACTACAAATCCTTTTTATTTTGTCACAATAAAATCTAGACCAAGTCTATTCTGTTTAGGGTAATCAATTTAACCAGCCAAAACCAACTATGGTTGCAAATATATATACACACACAAACTATGAGTGTGACTGAGTGTGAATGTGAGTATGTGTGTGTATATCTATACACATGCATAAGATGGATTACACATTTGCCTCTCCTTTTTGTGGATTTCATTAGCTCCATTTTATGTTTGATTAAATAATTAGTTTTACTCATTAGATAAAAGAGTTAAAGTTTATATAAATATTTTTTTCTAGGAAGCTACCCAAACTATTATATTATAAAACTTCTTCAGTTTTTTTACAACGGAACCTTCTCATATTTTTTTGATAAAATGCTCTAAAATTGGTTATGCTGTTCAAGCAGAAGCAAGAAGCAAAAGGCTATATATATGTCTAAGGGAGCCTACAACCTATGATATTTGTATCACAGACTTGTCACTTTTTATATTTTGGACAAACCTTCCATTCTCAGTGTACTTGATAAAACTTGAGCAATTTTTTTCATTTAAATAACTCTTTTAAGGTTTTCACTTTATGAATGACCCGTAGATTCTAACTTTTTATTTTTCTGCCAATAGCTTCCTCGAAACTGGATGCATTTACATTTCTTGCGTGCAATTGGCACCGCAATGTCAATGAGGTCAGGTATTGCTGCAGATGCTGCAGCTGCTTTGCTCTTTCGTATACTTTCACAACCCATGCTACTATTTCCTCCGTTGAGGCAGACAGAAGGAGTTGAAGTCCAGCATGGACCCTTGGCTGGTTACATATCTTCTTATAAGAAACAGGTAATGTAAAATTTTGAGATAATTATTCAAGTCGGCCTCTCTTTTTTTTTGCAATTTCAATTAGAACATTTTTCTTTTGATGTAAATTTGCATTAAACTTTTTTGATATTTAGCTGGAAGTTCCTGCTGCTGAAGCCACTATTGAGGCAACCGCACAAGGAATCGCCTCAATGCTATGTGCTCATGGCCCAGATGTGGAATGGAGGATCTGTACCATCTGGGAGGCTGCTTATGGTTTGCTTCCCTTGAGTTCATCAGCTGTTGATTTACCAGAGATAGTAGTGGCAGCACCATTGCAACCTCCTACGCTATCTTGGAGCTTGTACTTACCACTGCTAAAAGTGCTGGAGTACTTACCTCAAGGAAGTCCATCTGAAGCATGTCTTATGAGAATATTTGTTGCTACTGTTGAAGCCATACTTCGAAGAACGTTTCCACAAGTTACATCTTTTGAGCAGTCAAAAAAGTCAAGTAATAATGGAGGCATGTGGCCCAACACTAAGAGCTTGGCAGTGGCTGAGCTCCGCACAATGGTTCATTCTCTGTTCCTAGAATCATGTGCATCTGAGGATCTAGCCTCTCGCCTTTTGTTTGTAGTGCTAACTGTTTGCATCAGCCATGAAGCTTTGCCAAATGGAAGCAAGAGGCCTACGGGAAGCATTCATCTTTCTTCAGTTGAGGTTGCTAATGAACTGCAGATACTTGATTCTAAACAATCTGGGAGGAGTAGAAGCAGGAGAAAACATGGTCCTACTGCAACATTTGATTCGTATGTTTTGGCCGCTATATGTGCATTGTCTTGTGAACTTCAGTTGCTCCCTTTGATCACAAAAAATGGCTTTCATCCAGATTCTGAAGATCCTGTTAGATTGGCAAAGGCAGCAAAAACCAATGGTTTTTCTCAAAAGGTACATGACGGTATGAGTTCAGCAGCTCAGCACACTTGCAGATTTCTTAAAATTTTAGAAGCTCTTTTCTCACTGAAACCATCATCGGTTGGAACTTCATGGAGTTATAGTTCCAATGAGATTGTGGCTGCAGCTATGGTTGCTGCCCATGTTTCTGAATTATTTGGAAGATCGAAGGCCTGCATGAATTCCCTTTCTGTTTTGATGCGATGCAAATGGGATAGTGAGATTGGTGCAAGAGCTTCTTCCCTTTATCATCTAATTGACTTGCATGGTAAAACAGTTGCTTCTATAGTTGACAAGGCAGAACCACTTGAAGCGAACTTGATACTTGTACCACGAAGGAAGGACAGCTCATTGTGTTCAACTGGTGTGCTGCCATTGAGTTCTTCAAGTAGTAGCAGCTTAAAGACAGAGGATAATGCTTCCATTCAATCTAAGAACTCTTCAATGGCTCCCATAAAATGTGAGAAGGCAAAGTTGATAAATTATATGGCTGTGGATACGTCAGAGAAAAGCATGGAACGTTTTTCTGATGATGCGTCTGATCTTGCAAATTTTCTTACTATGGATTGGAATGGGCGATTCAACCGCACTTCACAGGCTCTTCTAAGATCAGTTCTTGCTGAGAAACAAGAGTTGTGTTTCTCTGTTGTTTCTTTGTTATGGCACAAGCTAATTGCTGCTCCTGAGACAAAAATGAGTGCAGAAAGTACATCCGCTCAGCAAGGGTGGAGACAGGTTGGTTTTTCTCGTGTAAATGGAGCTATATATAGTTATATATTTAACAATCATCAGTAATAGATTCAGTCTCATTGCTCTTTTCTTTAAGTACATTTTTATATTTATTTCTTATAAGAAAGTTCAGAACATCAGTAGTTTAATGTATATGGTATTTCACAACTTGCTCTTACATGGTAAATGTTTTTATTATAATTTGATTTAGGGAAGGCCTTCATGATTGATTTTCGGTGAGTAAAACATAGCAGAAAAAATATTGAAGCTTCATCATTTTAGAATGTCCTCTTTAATCTGCTGTCGATTTTGTTTAACTTAGTACAGCATGCTTCTTTTGATCCATTTCATAGAACCACCTGAATCCTTTTGTTTCTCTGCTGCCTCGTGGTTGCAACTTCTTGTTTTGGTCCAGCTTTATGGTTCAATTGTTCTTCGAAGTCTACTTGTGAAATAGACCAATGACACTGCATCCTCTTTTCCGCTTCGATTCTAAAGCCCGTGTATATGGGAGGGTGATGGGCTTACTGAACTAACACTTATCAATGCGGCTCTGCATCTTCATTGCAGTTTAATGTCTCAGGAGTAAATTATACATTTTATTAGACATTCGTTGAATAGGACTATTGTTTATCACATGCTTCTTTAAATACTGTTTTTTGATTATACCTCAGATTTTTCGTTGCATGAGTTCCACAGATGGCGTCATAGAGCAAGTTTTATTTATTTTTTTTCTTTTTTTTCTTTTTCTGTGTGTGCCTATTTCTTCTGACTGTGTGAGAAAAAATTTATTTACCTTGATTTTTGGAACATTTATAAGCTGCTGACTATGGAAACAATCTGCAGTCCTTTATGTCTTCCCTTTCATCTTTTATTTCATGAACCTTATTCTGATTTGGTCTGAATTTTGATTATTTTCTTCATATGTAGGTTGTAGATGCCCTCTGTGATGTTGTGTCAGCTTCTCCTACAAAAGCATCAACTGCCATCGTTCTTCAGGTTCAATACACATTCCTTGCTGTTCTTCACCGCTGAATCAACACAAATTTCTTTATGTCAGGACTATTTTTGAGTCACTCATTGGCACATGATTTTCGATTATGGACAGGCAGAACGGGATTTGCAGCCCTGGATTGCAAGAGATGATGAGCAAGGCCAAAAAATGTGGAGGATCAACCAGCGAATCGTGAAGTTAATTGTCGAACTCATGAGAAGTCAGGAAAGCCCAGAAACACTAATTATCCTTGCAAGTGCCTCGGATCTTCTCCTTCGTGCAACTGATGGGATGCTTGTAGATGGTGAAGCCTGCACTCTACCACAGCTAGAGGTAAATACAAAGGAGGTCAATAACATATTGACTGCTAATAGTTGAATTCTCTTCCAGACATGATTTATTATTCACATATCTATTTATTTGAATATTATGCTCAATTATTCACGTCTTCTAAGTTAAAATTTCCTTGAATACAAAATATGCAGCTCCTGGAAATGACAGCTAGAGCAGTCCACCTAGTATCAAATTGGGGAGAAACAGGCTTAGCCGTAGCTGATGGCCTTGCTAATCTTCTCAAAGTATTTCTAATACTACTATTGAAATCATCATTCTTATTCATTAATCCATTTTACTGTTCTTAAACATTGCAACCCAACTTCTATTGCAGTGTCGATTGCCAGCCACTGTCCGCTGTCTCTCTCATCCTAGTGCTCTTGTGCGAGCTCTCAGCATATCAGTTCTTCGAGATATTATGAATACCGGCCCCATCAATTCCTCTAAATATACAAATGAGAGGTTACATTTGTATGATCCCTCTTACCGAAGTCTGGGATTGGGCATCACAAACTGGCATGCGGACATTGAGAAATGTATTAAATGGGAAGCTCGAAGCAGGCGAGCAACTGGCATGGCTCTCGCCTTGCTCGGCTCAGCTTCGAAGGAGTTGGGCTGCCCTCTTCCCAGTTAGCATTTCTTACAGGCCATGATGCTGCTGCTGCAATTAATCCAGGCCGCGGCAATTGACATACGTTCACCGTGTTCTTTTTTTAAACCATATGTAACGTTATAATGTCATTATGTGCTATTTAATGTTGTAATGTGCGTTATTTAGTTTTGGCTGTGTAGATATGAACAACCAACATGACATTGGTTTACATCAAATGGCCACTTGCAATGTTAATTGAAATCATTAAGGTATCCTATCTCACAATAAGGACTGAATTATTGGATCTCGCGCTGAGGCTTGTATCAAAATTTTTAACTAGGCCTTGCTATAAGTTGGCTTCCTATGGTCTCTATTTTATTAGAGCCTTGCCCTACAATATTGGATTGAGTTCAATTCAAATTAAAAATCATTTTTAATCTCTCTTTATATTCATGCAGAAATTTGATATAAATCAAAGGTTTTTGCCCCGAGATAATATTCAAGTAAATTTCATCTTGATCGATTTTGAGCTTTAGTTGATTTGAATAAAACAGACTTTCCAAAATATTTTTATTATTTATAAGATTATTATCCATGTTTTAAAAAGTATTTAAAATTTATTAATTATTGTCTTGGGATATTTGCGGTGGTAGAGAAATATAAAGTTTAACGGCTTAGTATTGTATATAGATTCAGTGTACAATCAAATAATTGTAGCGTTCATAAGGGAAGAGTTTGTGGAAATTTTTGAGAAGGGAAAAAAAATCAGGGGACAGACAAGTTTCAGGAATCGAAAGAATTAGTATTGAAATGTTAGTTTGGTCGGGCATAATCATAGTCGACGGGCGATGGAGGTCAAAAAGATTAGTCGGGTGACAGTGGTTGGAAGAATTGTTGTTTGGCGAGGTACGTCGGAAGGATCGTAGTCGGTATGAGATAGGGGTTAGAAAGACTTTTTGTTTAGTGATGGAGGTTGGAATGACCGTAGTTGGCGACGAAGGTTGGAAGGATTGTAGTTGGCATGAGACAAGGGTTAGAAAGATCATTGTCTAGCTATCGAATTCGAAAGGACTGTAGTTGGCAGAAGACATGGATTAGAAAGACCGTTGTATGGTGGTAGACGTCAGAACGATCGTAGGAGGTGACGAAGGTCGAAAGGACTGTAGGAGGCAATAGACAAGGGTCAGAAAGATCGTTGTCTAGCGACGGAGGTTGGAAAGACTGTAGTTGGCAGGAGACATGGGTCAGAAAGACCATTGTATGGTGGTGGAGGTCGGAAGGACCGTAGTCGGCTGGAGAGAAGGGTCAGAAAGACTATTGTCTGGAAACAGAGGTCAGGACCATAGTCGGAAGGAGATAGAGGCCAGAAAGACCGTTATCTAGCGGTAAAGGTCGGAAGGACCAAAGTCGGCAGGAGATAGGGGTCAAAAAGACCGTTGTATGGCGATGGAGGTCAGAAGAACCATAGCAGACAATGGAGGTCGAAAGGATCATAATTAGCAAGAGACAAAGGTAAAAAGGATCGTTGTATGGCGATGGAGGTCAGAAGGAATGTAGTAGGCGACGACGGTCAGAAGGATCGTAGTTTGCAAGAGATAAGGGTCAGAAAGACCAATGTCGTAAGGCGGTGGTCCTACGTCAGGCGATGGTCTGACGAAAATCCGACGTAAGGTGGTGGCCTGGCGAAACTCCAGGCGCCAGGTGGTGGTTCGGCGGAACTCCGCTAGATCACCATCTGGCATCCAAAGTTTCGTCGGACCATCGTGTCAGGCGCTGGTCTGATGTAACTATGGGCATCAAATGGTGGCCCATAATAACTTTGGGCGGCGGTCGAGGCAGAGATAAGGGGCAAGAGCGATCTCCGATCTCTCTCTTGCTCACTTACTTAGGTTCTCCTTTAAAGAGGAAGGAGGGGTCAATTTATAGATTTCTTAGAGTGACATGTCTTATAAATAGGAGGAGGATCAAGGGTAAATGGCGAGTGGTTTGAATGGATGGCCGATGTTGAATCTCTTGATTATTGACCATTTACTGAAGATTTAAATGTCTTGGTATTATCATAATTCAGTGAACTTAGGTTAGTTGGATTTGTCTCGTCGATCCTGTTGATTTAATTATAAGCATGTCTCGTTTGGAAACCGTTTGGTAATCCAAATTGTGATTTGAACCTTCCAAAAGCACTTTGAGTCCTTGAATTGGACTCATTTGGGCTCAGATTGAGTTAAATTTGATGTTGTTATGTTTATATTCTTGAAACGTTCAGTTCGATTGCAAGTTTGCTAAACTCAGAGTTTGGATGGTCCCATTTTTAATTCTGGAAATTTCCAACATTGATTTTTCCTCGAGATTCATGCCCGATCAAGATATTTTTTTTATGATGTACTAGTTACTCCCTACTTTCGGACGTCAAAGCCTATAGAATCTGAAAATGCATGTTATAACATTCAAGGAATTTTTAAAGTGATTTAAAATTTGAAAATAATTCAATCTTGGGTGTATAGGTCCTGGACAGCTTTAAAAGTGCTAAAATTGACTCCAAAATGTCAAGAAATAGTGGCCAGGATCCAAAAAACATTTGATTTGACCTTTTTAAGCCCAAAATTGGGCCAAAAAATGGGCACAGATAGACTGCCGCAATTTTGCCAACGCGCACCTCCCTGGTTGCCCGCCTACTTGCATATTCATGCACCCTGCTCGACTCAATGCCGACTTTCCTGAATCGTGGCCACGTCAGCTCAGGTTAGCTGGCGGTTGGCTAACCACTAACTGACCATTGGTTAACCGCCAGTGGTTATTTTTTTTAAACTTATATATATATATATATATATCATAACTACTCTAACCACCCCTCCCTCCTATAAATACCTCCATTAGGGGTATGAAACTTTTTTGCCTCCAACTCCTCCATCTTCTTTCTCAATTTGAGGCATTCCCTTGGTCCTCTCAGGGGATATCCCCTATCCAGGTTTAAGGCCTCTAACTAGGTATGAGTCTCCTCCTCATTTCTTCTTTTCTAGTTGAGGCATTCCTCGGGTCTCGTTCAGGCGATATCCTTATCCAAGTCTAGGGCTCCTCTCTAAGTAAAAGAGACCTTTTTCCCCTCCCCCTTCTCTCCCCTGTTGTCCTCTTCCTTTACGGGAGACCTTCCTCGGTCTTTTGATAAGCGGTATCTCTTATCTAATTGTAGGGCCCCTACCTATACAGAGGTCATGATGGCGGATCACCCTTCTTTGAGAGATCCCACAGCCAAGAGATATTCACATCCATAGGTGGTTGGTAATGGAGGTTAAAAGGTCAATTGCTAGTGGGCGATGGAGGTCAGAAGAGCCATAGTAAGGCGAAAAGGCCGTTGTTAGGAGGGAGGTTGAAAGGATAATAATTTAGTGATGGAGGTTGGGGAGGACCATAGTCGATGGGCGACAGAGGTCAAAAAGATCACAATTGGAGGGCCACAGAGGTCATAAAGTCATCTATTTGGTGAAGGAAGTTGGGAGGACTGAAGGCTGTGGGCGATAGAAGTTAGAAGGACAGTAGTCACTGGGCGATGGAGGTCGGAAGGGTCGTAGTTTGGTGATAAAGATCAGAAGGATTGTGGTAGGCTACAGATGTTAGAAGTCTTGTGAAAATTTAATGAGGAGCAGAAGTCTTGCGATAGATAGAAATTTGATGCCGGGTAGAAGTCTGACGAAAGTCTAATAATAGGTAGAAGTCCGACGACGGGTAAAACTTCAGCATCGGGTAATACTTCAATAAAATTCCAATGATGGGCATAAGTTCAACAACAGGTAGAAATTTAGTGTCAGGTAGAAGTATGATGAAGGGCAGAAGTTCGAAGAAAGTACTGTGATAGGCAAAAGTCTAGCGTTGGATAGAAGTATGATGTTAGGTAGAAGTACAAGGTTGGGTAGAAGTCTGACGAATGTCTTGTGACGGGCAGAAGTCTGGCATCAGGTAGAAATCCGACGACGGGTAGAAGTTCGGCGTCAGATAAAAATCTAGCGATGGGAAAAAGGTTGAAGAAGATAGTTTGAGGGTGTGCTACTGATAGTAGTCAAGCGAGATGTCGATTGGCTTATCACTAGTCTGGTGACAAATTAATAGTGTCAACTGAGCGAATTCCTGATGATGATCAGATTCTAATCTTTCTTTAAAGTATAAGTTGTAAGAGATTCTTTAACATGTAGTAGAGTAGAGGTCAATAGAATTTGCCAAAGATATATAATCTATTCGAGATTGTATGTCCGAGCGTTGTTCAATGACATTGTTGACCTCAATTTTCATTCGGGTGCCCTTGAGGGCCTTTAATCAATTTAATTAAGTCCAGTCTTTTTCTAAAAGCTATTTTTATAAGCCTGTTTTTAAAATTTTAAGCATTCATGATTTGGAAGCCTTTTAACTAGTATGTATTACATTAGAAACTCTCTAAATTAAAAATTTAATTGCATTAGCTCTAGAAGCATTCACCCTACATAAGTCTAAGGCCAATTAGAAAACTCTCTAGACATTGGCCTTACTTCCAAAACACTCAGCCTACCTACCCATCTTTCATAAAAACTGGATAACATGGATTTTACGTGCCTAGGTGGTTAGCTGGCATTTCTTTTCAAGTAGGATATATGCCTATATTGTATTAGTTAGGACACGTGCATTAGTGTTAGGTAGAGCACTAATCCCACCTTACATTTAGGGTTCAAGGCTACTAATTTGGTGTCTCGTAGCATGCCTCATCGGTGGGTAAGTCTCCTTCTCTTCAGAGGATATAAATCCTACCTATCCGCTTCATTTGGATGACGTCACTTATATCTTTCTCTCTGGATGCTTTGAGTGTTTCGTTTTCCTTCCTCTAGTCTCTTCTCGGTACCTTAGTCTCTCCGGATGTCTGTGTGAGCTGTGTATGTTGACTAAGCCACTTGAACCCTCCTTTCCCTTTGAGTAAGAACTTCCTAGTCTCCCTTTTGTACCAATCCCTTATCTTTTTTTTTTTTGAAATTGCCAATAACATTTAAAAGAAGAAGCTATTACAAACTACTAGGTGATAGCTATTCTATAACAATCCTCCTTCAATAAAGAAACAAAATAAGGAGGAATCTTATTATATTGTAGATCATCCTATAAAAACTCACCCAATAAAGCTATGTTAGCACAAAAATCAGCTAACTTTTTATATTTTCTATTGGAGAAATGAAATAAAAAATTCCCGAAGTCCTTCAAAAAAGAGAAGTCCTCCACAAAATTATTGTCCACTAGATTGCAAGCTTTATCAACTGAACTTTGAAGAAATTTGATCACATTAAAATTGTCACCCTC